ACTTATTAGTTGACATGCGATAAAAGAAACTCATCGACAGAAACAAAAAGTTACAAGTCACCGGCATAATCTCTTCTGACTCTGAAATCTATGGTGTCCGTATTCAAAAACCTGAAAATAAAATCTTTAATGATATTTTATCGCAATACGAGTGCATCACAAGAGCCGATTATCAAAATGAATGCACCGTTCATCATGTACAACACCATATTACTACAACTGGTCAACCTACACGTGCAAAACCCAGGAGACTACTACCTCACAAGTTAGCGATTGCAAAACGAGAGTCCGAACACATGATGCAACTAGGCATCATTAGGCAGTCTAACAGTCCCTGGGCTTCTTTGCTTCATATGGTTCCAAAAAAAGAACAAGATTGGCGCCCATGCGGTGATTGTCGTCGTTTGAATAGTCAGACTACCCCAGATAGATATCCCATCCCGAATTTACACGATTTTTCTTTAAATCTACATGGAAAGCAAGTTTTTTCGAGGTTAGATCTTGTACGTGCATATCACCAAATTCCGATGGCACCTGAAGATATTGAGAAAACGGCCATCATCACACCCTTTGGTTTGTTTGAATTCTTAAGGATGCCTTTCGGATTAAAAAATGCTGCCCAGACCTTCCAAAGATTCATGGAAGAGGTAACTAGAGGTTTGGATTTTGTATTCGTTTATGTTGATGACGTTTTAATCGCTAGCTCTTCCTTACAGATTCTCTTTGAGCGTTTCAAAAGTTATGGCGTCGTGATTAATCCCTCAAAGTGTATATTTGGTGCTTCAGTGTTGGAGTTTCTTGGTCATCACATAAACTCTCAAGGAATTAAACCCCTTTCAAAGAAAGTCGAAGCCATAATAAACTACCCTGAGCCTACTTCTGTTAAGGCACTACGTTGTTTCCTGGGAGCATTAAATTTTTATCGACGATTTTTACCCAATTGTGCCGATGTTCTACAGCCCTTAACAGACCTACTTAAAAATGATAAATCGAGTAGCAAAAAGAAGAACCAACTATTCCAGTCACCCTCTGACGACAAAATGGCATTCGAAAAAGCCAAAACCTTGATTGCCGACGCTACTATGCTACAACACCTAAACACTGACCCCAAAACGCACTTGATCTTGTGTACGGATGCATCTCAAAAAGCCGTAGGGGCAGTGCTACAACAAACAGTTAACAAAATGATTACACCAATAGCTTTCTTCTCTAAACGGTTATCACCCGCTCAAGAGCGGTACAGCACATTTGGACGCGAACTTCTAGCCATGTACTTAGCTGTTAAACACTTCAATTTTTTACTACAGGGTCGTGATTTTACCATTATGACGGACAATAAACCCCTGTGCTTCTCATTTAGTATGTCATACGATAGACATTCTATCCGCGAAGCGATACAGCTCGATTATATCTCGCAATTCACCACGGACATTCAGTTTATCAAGGGTCATACCAACATTGTCGCAGACGCACTGTCTAGAAAGGATATCAATATGATAGTACTTAACCATGACATCAGCCTTGAAACCTTAGCCAAATTACAAGCAGACGACGCAGAATTGAAGATCTGTAGAGAAAAGTCTAGCTTGAATCTAAAATCGGTACCCATTCCTTTCTCAGATGCATCCATCATTTGTGACACTTCGACGAGCAACAATCGTCCCTTCGTCCCATTTACTTGTCGCAGAAAGATGTTTCAGCAACTACATGGACTCTCGCATCCAGGTATTAGAGCCACCACCAAGCTGATCACCGAACGTTTTGTCTGGCCCAAAATGAACTCCGATATAAAACGATGGGCACGAAACTGTATTTAATGTCAGCGGAGTAAAGTCCAGAGACACACTATCAGCCCGATTGGGGAATTTCATACCCCTGACAGACGTTTTCAACATATTCACTTGGATTTAGTTGGGCCCCTGCCACCGTCAAACTCTTTCACTCACATTCTCACTGTGGTGGACAGGTTCACTCGATGGGCGATTGCATGCCCTATTAAAGACACATTGGCAGAGACAGTTGCGTCAGTTTTTCTCGACCGATGGATATCGAACTACGGAGTACCTGCAATTATCAATACTGATCGTGGCCCCCAATTTCAATCCATTTTATTTCAGGAATTCACCAGACTCCTTGGGGTCAACCACATCAAAACAACGGCTTATCATCCAGCAGCTAATGGCATGGTTGAAAGATTTCATCGCCAATTGAAAAGCTCGCTGACGACTCAAGCTGATCCTACCAAATGGAGCGATGCCTTACCACTCGTACTTCTGGGTATTCATTCCACTATTAAAGAAGACATTGGATGCACTGCTGCCGAATTAGTCTACGGTACAACATTAACATTACCAGGCCAATTAGTCAATTGCGAATCTACAACGATAGGAGATCCTTCCCGTTTTGCAAGCCGTTTACTACAGACGATGCAGAATATTAAACCAATACCCCCGCGACAACATAGCAACCGGGTGCAACTAGATAAAAACCTTGAAACCTGCAAATTTGTTTTCGTTCGAGTTGACGCTGTCAAAAAGCCACTAAAACCACCATACGAAGGTCCTTATAAAGTAATCAAACGTACTCCCAAACACTTTATTATCATTCGAAATGGGAACAAAGAAACTATTTTCATTGCTAGAATTAAACCAGCGTTTTACGAACCGACTCACCTTAAAGAAGTTAACAACGATGAACAAAAACCCCTCCCTTCTGTTCCTGAGAAGCCAATGGAAGAGGACAAGTTTCATCTTAAACCGTCTTTAACTCGCTCTGGTAGGTTGGTAAAAAAACCTAAGCGCTACGTACATTTCGCCGCCTAACAAAAATCGATTCAATTACACGCATTTTATAGTTAAGTTACTCAATTTTCTAATAAAAACTATTTATTTTCCTTACATGTACATTTAATAATTACATTTATATATTATCACCGGTTTTGCTAATTTTTTTTAATAAGAAAAATTGTCATTGTTATAAACGAGTGAACGCTAACCAACTATTCATTAAACTGTATACAAAACAAAAAAAACAACCCAATTTTTTTATTATGAGTTTATCAACAGTTTTGCACATTTTATTATTATTATTAGCAAACCTAAACTTTTTAATGCTCGTTTTTCAGTTTCCTTTTGCGTAGCATAGCTTATATTATTAACGTGCCATTTATTCCTACTATTTTATGTACATTTATACACAATATTTTTCCATTTTTGTTGTTCGTATTGTAATCAGTGTTACCTGCGGACACTCTGGGGGGAGCTATGTGGAAATAAGATCATAAAACCTATTTTGTCAATAAAGTTTTCATAGTTTTCGCATGTATTTTGTGTATTTTCATAATTGTGGATTATCTGAACCAAACTCAACTGAACGCGCAATAGCCTGAAGAATTAAATAACGTCCCTTATTTTTATCTGTGTGTAATTAACTTAATAACTGTTAATTAATACATAAACTTTGGACGTAATATTTTGTTGCTATTTTTTTGGTTATCATACTTTTGGTCCACCACAAGCTGGTGTACCATAAGATCATCATTTACTGGTTGCCAAGATGAAATAAAAACTTAAGAAGTATCGAACAATGGGGCAGGCATCACAAAAGTTTGATACGGCTTTTCTTCGGGATACTGACAAACTCAACAAATTCAACATAGCCTTCAGCAACAAGTTCCAGGCCTTTTATGAGCTACTCAGTATCGAGGGAACTGCTATGGAGAGCAACTGGAAAGGGATAAAAAAGAGGCAGTCACTTCAACGTGTCAGGATGTTCTGGGCCACAAGCACTCCATCACAAGGGATGGATCACTGTTGGTACACTGGATAAGACTGAAGAAAGGAGGAACAAGAAAACAACAATCAATACCAGCCGATCAAGAGCAGAAGAATCTAAGACACAAGCCGAAAACAGAAGTAAGCAAGCAAGTGAAGAGGAGTATCAGAACTGACAAACGTAAATATGTGGAAGATTTAGCGATGACGGTGAAAAAGGATGCGAGAGGCAAACATGAGACAACTGTATGATACAACAAAGAGACTTGCTGGAAATTACCGTAAGCCAGAAAGACCAGTGAAAAGCAAGGAAGTCAAAGTAATCACCAACATTGCAGAACAGAAAAACAAGTGGATAGAACACTTCAAAGAACTCTCGAATAGACCAGCTCCACTGAACCCACCCAACATCGAAGCAGCACCCACAGACCTCCCAATCGATGTTGGCCCACCAACAATTGAGGAGATCAGCATGGCCATTAGACAAATCAAGAGCGGCAAAGCAGCGGGACCAGACAACATCCCGGCAGAGGCACTGAAAGCAAATGTAACAGCAACTGCCAAGATACTCTACATTTTCTTCAGTAAGATTTGGGATGAAGAACAAGTACCAACAGACTGGAAATGGTGGAGATAGGAATAAGTGGCACGTTAATAATATAAGCTATGCTACGCAAAATGAAACTGAAAAACGAGCATTAAAAAGTTTAGGTTTGCTAATAATAATAATAAAATGTGCAAAACTGTTGATAAACTCATAATAAAAAAATTGGGTTGTTTTTTTTGTTTTGTGTACAGTTTAATGAATAGTTGGTTAGCGTTCACTCGTTTATAACAATGACAATTTTTCTTATTAAAAAAAATTAGCAAAACCGGTGATAATATATAAATGTAATTATTAAATGTACATGTAAGGAAAATAAATAGTTTTTATTAGAAAATTGAGTAACTTAACTATAAAATGCGTGTAATTGAATCGATTTTTGTTAGGCGGCGAAATGTACGTAGCACTTAGGTTTTTTTACCAACCTACCAGAGCGAGTTAAAGACGGTTTAAGATGAAACTTGTCCTCTTCCATTGGCTTCTCAGGAACAGAAGGGAGGGGTTTTTGTTCATCGTTGTTAACTTCTTTAAGGTGAGTCGGTTCGTAAAACGCTGGTTTAATTCTAGCAATGAAAATAGTTTCTTTGTTCCCATTTCGAATGATAATAAAGTGTTTGGGAGTACGTTTGATTACTTTATAAGGACCTTCGTATGGTGGTTTTAGTGGCTTTTTGACAGCGTCAACTCGAACGAAAACAAATTTGCAGGTTTCAAGGTTTTTATCTAGTTGCACCCGGTTGCTATGTTGTCGCGGGGGTATTGGTTTAATATTCTGCATCGTCTGTAGTAAACGGCTTGCAAAACGGGAAGGATCTCCTATCGTTGTAGATTCGCAATTGACTAATTGGCCTGGTAATGTTAATGTTGTACCGTAGACTAATTCGGCAACATTGCATCCAATGTCTTCTTTAATAGTGGAATGAATACCCAGAAGTACGAGTGGTAAGGCATCGCTCCATTTGGTAGGATCAGCTTGAGTCGTCAGCGAGCTTTTCAATTGGCGATGAAATCTTTCAACCATGCCATTAGCTGCTGGATGATAAGCCGTTGTTTTGATGTGGTTGACCCCAAGGAGTCTGGTGAATTCCTGAAATAAAATGGATTGAAATTGGGGGCCACGATCAGTAGTGATAATTGCAGGTACTCCGTAGTTCGATATCCATCGGTCGAGAAAAACTGACGCAACTGTCTCTGCCAATGTGTCTTTAATAGGGCATGCAATCGCCCATCGAGTGAACCTGTCCACCACAGTGAGAATGTGAGTGAAAGAGTTTGACGGTGGCAGGGGCCCAACTAAATCCAAGTGAATATGTTGAAAACGTCTGTCAGGGGTATGAAATTCCCCAATCGGGCTGATAGTGTGTCTCTGGACTTTACTCCGCTGACATTAAATACAGTTTCGTGCCCATCGTTTTATATCGGAGTTCATTTTGGGCCAGACAAAACGTTCGGTGATCAGCTTGGTGGTGGCTCTAATACCTGGATGCGAGAGTCCATGTAGTTGCTGAAACATCTTTCTGCGACAAGTAAATGGGACGAAGGGACGATTGTTGCTCGTCGAAGTGTCACAAATGATGGATGCATCTGAGAAAGGAATGGGTACCGATTTTAGATTCAAGCTAGACTTTTCTCTACAGATCTTCAATTCTGCGTCGTCTGCTTGTAATTTGGCTAAGGTTTCAAGGCTGATGTCATGGTTAAGTACTATCATATTGATATCCTTTCTAGACAGTGCGTCTGCAACAATGTTGGTATGACCCTTGATAAACTGAATGTCCGTGGTGAATTGCGAGATATAATCGAGCTGTATCGCTTCGCGGATAGAATGTCTATCGTATGACATACTAAATGAGAAGCACAGGGGTTTATTGTCCGTCATAATGGTAAAATCACGACCCTGTAGTAAAAAATTGAAGTGTTTAACAGCTAAGTACATGGCTAGAAGTTCGCGTCCAAATGTGCTGTACCGCTCTTGAGCGGGTGATAACCGTTTAGAGAAGAAAGCTATTGGTGTAATCATTTTGTTAACTGTTTGTTGTAGCACTGCCCCTACGGCTTTTTGAGATGCATCCGTACACAAGATCAAGTGCGTTTTGGGGTCAGTGTTTAGGTGTTGTAGCATAGTAGCGTCGGCAATCAAGGTTTTGGCTTTTTCGAATGCCATTTTGTCGTCAGAGGGTGACTGGAATAGTTGGTTCTTCTTTTTGCTACTCGATTTATCATTTTTAAGTAGGTCTGTTAAGGGTTGTAGAACATCGGCACAATTGGGTAAAAATCGTCGATAAAAATTTAATGCTCCCAGGAAACGACGTAGTGCCTTAACAGGAGTAGGCTCAGGGTAGTTGATTATGGCTTCTACTTTCTTTGGAAGGGGTTTAATTCCCTGAGAGTCTATGTGATGACCAAGAAACTGCAACACTGAAGCACCAAATATACACTTTGAGGGATTAATCACGACGCCATAACTTTTGAAACGCTCAAAGAGAATCTGTAAGGAAGAGCTAGCGATTAAAACGTCATCAACATAAACGAATACAAAATCCAAACCTCTAGTTACCTCTTCCATGAATCTTTGGAAGGTCTGGGCAGCATTTTTTAATCCGAAAGGCATCCTTAAGAATTCAAACAAACCAAAGGGTGTGATGATGGCCGTTTTCTCAATATCTTCAGGTGCCATCGGAATTTGGTGATATGCACGTACAAGATCTAACCTCGAAAAAACTTGCTTTCCATGTAGATTTAAAGAAAAATCGTGTAAATTCGGGATGGGATATCTATCTGGGGTAGTCTGACTATTCAAACGACGACAATCACCGCATGGGCGCCAATCTTGTTCTTTTTTTGGAACCATATGAAGCAAAGAAGCCCAGGGACTGTTAGACTGCCTAATGATGCCTAGTTGCATCATGTGTTCGGACTCTCGTTTTGCAATCGCTAACTTGTGAGGTAGTAGTCTCCTGGGTTTTGCACGTGTAGGTTGACCAGTTGTAGTAATATGGTGTTGTACATGATGAACGGTGCATTCATTTTGATAATCGGCTCTTGTGATGCACTCGTATTGCGATAAAATATCATTAAAGATTTTATTTTCAGGTTTTTGAATACGGACACCATAGATTTCAGAGTCAGAAGAGATTATGCCGGTGACTTGTAACTTTTTGTTTCTGTCGATGAGTTTCTTTTATCGCATGTCAACTAATAAGTTGTGAGCACTGAGGAAATCGGCTCCGAGGATGGGTTGTTTAATTTGAGCTACTGTAAAAACCCATGTAAATCTCCTACGAAGGCCGAGGTCTAGTATGAGTGACTGCTCACGTTTTGATAATGGAGCTGTTTGCCGCAACAAGGGATAGCTTAGCAGGCTCTGAGTGCCATCGTCGAGAGAGATGCAACGGGAGAATGCTGATTTCTGCTCCTGTATCGACTAAAAAGTCTGAGCCAGAAATACCATCCCGGATGAAGAAGAGACGGCTTGTGATGATGCCAGGAACAGGCGCCGCCATTACTGCCTGGCCGAGCTGTTTCCCTGATTCATCGTGTCAGTTGAAGAAAATGCGCACGGCCGAGTATAGCGACGTGCTTTAGCCCCGTATTTGTTATGGTACCAACATACATCAGTGCTCTTCTTAGGTGAACGTGAACGTCGTCTAGATGAGGATCTTCGTCGAAAAGAAGGTCCAAGCTGTCTAGCTTGAACTGTTGCAACTGTAGTTTGAAGTGACGCAAGTTGGTTCATTAGTTGAGACAATTGTCTTTGGATACAATTTAAATAGCCGACGTCTGCTGCTCCGTACGGCTGCATCGTGTTTATGTAGTGATTATCATGGCAAACTTCCGTTACTTTATCTGCCATTTCAGCTAAATCATCGAGGGAGGAGGACTTCCCCAAGGCACTTAGAATTTGTCTGACGCTGCGTGGTAATCGGTTGAACCACATTTGTTTCAGGAGGGCTTCGTCTAGTTTATAAGGGCCGGCAAGTTGTTTCATATGTCGAAGTAGCTGGGAAGGTCTTTTGTCTCCCAGGTCACATGCGTTCAAAAGTTGCTGCAATCTTGTTTCATCCGAAACCGTTGTTCGCTGAATTAAAGCCGCTTTTAATTTATCATATGGCTCGGTTTCCGGAACGTGGTCGATAAGGTCTCCAACTTCGGCTGCAATTTCGATCGGGAGTGAGCCCACTACGTAAGCGTACTTAGATGCTTGGGAACGTACGCCCCTGGACTGGAATAAGGCTTCTATTTGAGCAAACCAGATTCTAGGATTATTTACTCCATATGGTGGAAGCCCAAACTCAGAAATAGCATTGACTGGACTAAATATACTGTCAGTAAGGTTAGATGATGAACTAAGAGTGGTTACTGGAACAGGGTCCATATCACTAAGCTTGGGTGGAGAGTACATTAAGTTAAAAATGAGCAAGTGAGTCACACAATAAGCGAATGAACAGTATAACAATGAGATAAATGCGAGATTATTAAATACTAGGCTCACCAAATAATTGTGGTGGACCAAAAGTATGATAACCAAAAAATAGCAACAAAATATTACGTCCAAAGTTTATGTATCAATTAACAGTTAATAAGTTAATTACACACATAAAAATAAGGGACGTTACTTAATTCTTCAGGCTATTGCGCGTTCAGTTGAGTTTGGTTCAGATAATCCACAATTATAAAAGATTAGTAATCCCAATATGGACGATATAGATCCAGTAGGTTTACCAAGCGTAGAATTCAATAGGAATGTCACAATTGTCTATAAACGTAGATGGTATGCAATTAATATTTAATTCAACATATTAGCGGACATGCCAGAACGATGCAGATGTGAGTTAGAGTGTATTTATTGAGGAGCAGTAACAATGTCGCGATATGTTGTACTCAAAAACGGAAGGAAGTCAAATTACAAGTGTTCAAAGTAATACACTTAAACAACAAATACAATTGTTTAATGCTAAATGTACAGAATATGAAAATACACAAAATACATGCGAAAACTATGAAAAATTTATATAAGAACTCTCGTCTAAATTAGAACGAATAGTTTCACAGTATTTGAGCGCCGAGTTGAAGTAAGACATTAAATAGGAATAATATATTTGTAAAATCTCAGCGAATGAATTTTTTCGCTGAGATTTTACAAATATATTATTCCTATTTACTATGAAAAATTATTTACAAAATAGGTTTTATGATCCTATCTCCACAAGCTCCTCTCTTGGTCCTCACATCCTCCATCGCTTTCCTGAACATTTTGTTGATGCAGCTATGGTCTATTTGGTTCTACGTAGTGTGATCCGGTGAAGTCCATGTAGCTTTGAATATTCGTTTGTGTGGGAATATAGTGCTGCCTATGACCAGTTTACTGAAGACACATAGGTTTGTAAATCTCTCACCATTTTTGTTCCTGTCTCCCAGTTCATATCGTCCGATGACATCTTCGTATCCGGTGTTACCCATTCCAACCTTGGCATTCAAATCTCCCATCAGAAGGGTCAGGTAATTTGTTGAGCATTTCTCGAAGATTGACTGTGGTGAAATTAACTCGGCGAAGAGTAAAATTACTGTCCTTCATAAATGGCGAAAGTAATACTGAAAATCCAAGCAACAGTTGTAGGAAATAGAAATGCAACAATTATTCGGGGTTTAACAGCTCTTTTACACGCATAGTCTATATTAATCGAAGTATGCCAACTCAGTCAAATCAGAATTCAGAAATGAACGGCCTCAAAAATATATTTGGAAAGCTAACGCTTTGTCGCGAGACGTCTGGTCTAAGCTTGCTAGTAGTTGTAAGGTATGTGTAACATGGTGTACGCACTTGTGATTTGGTGTGGATGTGTGATTGAGCACCTTCAACTAGGGTGATCCCACTAGAACAAGTTTTGTTAGCATCAATGTCAAAGACTTACAAAACTATTTATTGCATGGAATTTTTTTGCCACTACAATGGTTCAGTCGTATCTGCAAACATAGACTCGATAGCTGCGTATAAACGAATTTCATCAGACTATGAAAAGATATATGAAACAGTCCAAATTCTAATAAGTATTACAAATCTCAACAGCTATAGGAGGAACTCAAAGTACGTAAATGACCGTTAATTACCGTCTTTTTCCACTGGTCTTGTGATGTGTTCTACTGGATCTTTAAATTTGTCTTGCTTGTAACTTTTGCCTTTCACATTTTCATTTTAGTCTTGTTTTTGTATGGTATTTGATAAATTTTGTTCGAGATTCCTGAAAATTTAGGGTTAATTGAAGAAAATGTTTTGTAATGACTATTGGAACAGTTTTTTGCGTTGATAGAAAGCAATTTACGAATAAAATGTTGGCGAATTTGAACAGAGCAAGAATAACATGGTCTGCAGAGTGTAGTGAATTCGTTTTATTTCACGGTTTCTTATCAGCTGCATACAACCTAAAATTGCAGTTATCAATCTAACTATTAGGTCACGTTTGACATACTTTGAGTTATAAAGTTATGACAAACCACTATAAAAAGGATGGAAGTAAACAAAGTGAAGATCGACGTGTATGTATACATCAGGAAGTATTACTCCAGAGGTTATGTTAGGGCAATTGGATCAGTTAATGATTAGGTAATCGTTCAATATGGTAAAATAAACAAATTTGTGAACACTAATAAGATTGAGTCAGGGATAAATATCAGAAGACGTAAGAATAATAAAAAGCAACGAAAAGGTTGGAGATAAGGTTGAAAGAACGACCAAAATTAACAAAGGTTATTTGACAAATATACGATTATAATGGCAGGGAAAGACTTGTCAAATTTTCTTTCTGTATACATAGGTCAAATCGGAGACGTTTGATAACTCCTGCGAAACGAAGAATGATGCCTTTTGGCTGTTGGTTATTTTAAATGCATCACTTTCATTCACTTCATGTCAACTATCTAGATGTTTAGTAACTGCACCTGTGAAGAATTAAATCTCCAGCTGTAAGTTACTAGGAATTTGTTTGTAAAACTTTGTAGAGGCCCTTCTCTTTGTCCTTCTTAAGTACTTTCTAATGCATGTACATTTAATTTCATAAGTGTGATTGTAGATGACGTCAGAAGTGTATTTATCTAAATTCAGTGATGTAATAAAAACTTGGTGTTGCATGGTGAAACCTGTTGGGCGACAGAGAAGCTAATTTTTAGTACCATCTTGTCGATTCTTCCTAAAATCTAATCTCCATTGAAGGGAAGATGCACGGCGACAGGTTTCTTTCCATGAGTTTGTTGTTTAACATCCTTGAAGTTTTGTTTTCCATATTTCATAATGTGTTTCTTAAGTATCTCTTTTTCCTGAGATGTTTTTTTACAGAACAGCCAACTCCTCACTTATTATCCCATTTGAGCTTGAAATCCAGGCTCTAATAAAAAGCGTTTTGATTAGACACTTTTTGTAACTGATGGTGTTGTGAACGCGAACACAGGTGGGGACAACCAATACATTCTAATACAAAATTCAGAATATCCTGGAAAAATACTTCATTTGCAAATTTCTATAATT